TAGATAAAATAAGGATAAAAGGAAACTGTGAAAAAAGACTCCATAAGAAAAAACTAACACATTATCTCTTCTTTAACTGAGGTACACAAGTCATGGAATCCATTCCGGCTGATCCAGTCCTGGACTCCGCTCCTCCTCCTCCGATATGCTCCAGTCCCAGATCCATCCAAGGATGAAGACTATGCTGATGTTAAAACTGCTGCTGAAACATGACACCATAAGCCATAGAGAGATGATGAACTAATGCAACATTAAAGACCTACAGAAGCCCTGTTCTGGTCCGGTAACAGTAATGCAACACATTGTATTGCCCAGTCATGGAAATGCCAATTATAAAAGGAATATTTGGTATTTGGAACATTGTTGAAGCAATGGGGCACGTGACAGCCTCACATGCAATTGGAGCAGTTTGGACCGTTTAGCTGAGTAGCAAACCAGCTCAAACAACAACTCCCCTTTGGAGACCTGCAAGATTTCTAAAATACTTTACTCTAGTTTCAGAAGAAAGTAGGCTGGAGCACAGAATGGACTCAGTACAGCGATGTCATCATTGGATAATTGCAGGCCAATCACAACAACATGTTTGCATTCAAGAACAGATCATGTAGAGCTCTCCACGTTCACATGATCATCACCTTATGGTCACAGCGGTCTGAAATAAAGTTCATCGGAAAAGAACATGTTCTGAGCCGGACAAGGCCAGAAACTGCTGTTGGAGTAAAGATGCCGAATTTCACAGCGTCTTACTGACAGACGAGAGGACCTGCAAGCTGAAGATTCACACAAAGAGGACAAAAGTGATAAAATAGCCATCAAAAACTCTGTTCTAAGCCATCACAGTACGAGAAAATGTACAGTATAGTGGACAAAAGTGGACACTGGTACACCGAGATTGTCTGGACAGATCCAAAGCAGATCCAAATGGACTGAGCTGGAGGGGGCGGGACGGACACCAGTGACAGGAAACAGCTGGGACACACACACACCGGGTGAGTCACAATTTCTCACAGAAAAATAAAATCTAACAAAACACATTGAAGCAAAAAAAACAAAAAACTAAATATTATATTAATTTATTATTAAATGCTGATGAGCCTGAACAGCCTACATTGGTGATGAATGATAACCACCAAGAGTTTTAGAAACTGTAATTTAAACCTAGCAGGGGACAATATTGCAACATGATATGTTGAAAACAGCCCCAGAGAGGGGCAGGTTGCATATATAGTATCATGTTGATGAATTCTGATGACATAGTTGCTAAACACTTATTTCAGTTATCAGAGCACTAATGAGTGACGCCCACTGCACACACAAATATAGACAAACACACGCCGCTGTGAGCGGGGATAGACACACACACACAGACATTTAAGTACATGCAGATAGACGATGCCGATGGACAGGATGCAACAAGTTTTAATTATTTATGGAATAGGGACAGTGAAAGAAAAAAAAGAGAGAGAGAGAGAACTATTGCAACATATTATCTGGACAAGGAGCGCTGCGCTGTTGTTTTGTTTCTTTTTCTCCTTCTCTGATCTTAGCTGTACCGAGGGGGAATTATACACATGGCGAAGCAAAGCCAAGTGATTTGCAAACGGAGGGATTTGGGGATGCAAGTCCACCCGGAGTTGGCTGACTGACAACAGGCCAGTAAGTTGGAATCTGAGAACACTGTACAGTAAAGAGCAAAAAGTACTGCTCAGGTTAAAAGAACCATTGAACTAGTTCCTGTAACATCTTTTTACACACCATGGTTAAAACAATAAACTGTGACCTCATGTCTGAGGTGCAAACTGAATGAGAGTCTATAGCTGTAGTTAACACAAAGCTTGATTTGATTGATTTGTGATGATTTGATGTGTGAAATAATATTTACAAAAAAAAAAAAAAGAAGCGCTTGGAAATATTAAACATGTTTTCTTTTTGTTCACTGCTATAGGCTGCAGTGACCTGTACGCACCCACATTTTCAAAAAAGATTGAGAGAGTGGTGGTAAATGCATTAGTGCACCCACGAGCACTACAGGATTAAAGATTTCACATTATTGGTTACATCTAAGACCACACATTTCTCTGTTGGTGATTTGACAAAGGTCTGTTTTTAAAATTTTACATTTCCCGCGCGGCTGGTCGGTTTCCGTTCTGCAGTCCATCACACGAAGCGTGCTGAGATGACCATTGTGTTGCTAAAGCGGTTCGCCCACAATGGCCACACACAAGGCTAGTCTGTCTGTCTCTAATTGCAATTCGAATAGACAGAATAACTTCTCTGGGAATGTGATCACGATGAGAGTAAAGCTCTCTCTCCCAATGCATACAAGCCTTTTCATCCATTCCAAAACCAATCACCATAAAGAGGTGATGATGATTTTATGTAGAAGGGATCCCATTACTGACCCTGAGCTGACAGATCTTCACTGACTGAAACAGCTCTCTATAGTCTACCTGTACTCGGGGACTACAAAGACTTGACCGTTCTTACTTGACTTGACCGAAGGACGATCACATGACCTGTTCTGACACTACATCTTGGAAGCAAACCAGATGCCTGGTGCTTATTTTCATGTTGCTTGCTGTGTCTGTTGCTCTATGTCATGCTGGATGTTTATTTGTGTGCTGCTGCCGTGTTGATGATAAAATGTGATGCACGCTAACAGATTGACCCCATTTCCACAGGAAAAGAATGATGCCTGCTCATTCCTTGTTGTTTGATGTTATTGTTTAAATTCCTTTTTTTTAAACATGGTCCAGAGTTTTGCCCATGCGCTCTCCTCCACAGAGAAAAGGGGGAACTGAATGCAAAAATATGGAATGTGATGAGAACAAGTCTGTGTGAGGTGTGTTATCAGACAGCCTGGAAGCTCAGAGGCTGTTTTACACACACAGAGCAGAGTGTCACCCAGAAGAACCATGTGACCACCTGATGAGGGAGGTTTTTAGCTAAACCCAAGCAAAGGCAATAAGTGCTGTTGATGATAGTTGACATGTTTCCAAAATGGATAGACATCAGTATTACTACAGAAACATGGTGACAGACTGAGACCAGTCGCTTTTTCAGCAAAACTTGATCCAGTGGCTGCAGGGTTACCACGTTGTCTTAGAGCTGTGGCAGCAGCTGAGAAAGCTGTCATGGCATCACGTGACATTGTTGGTTATTCTGATTTAACCCTGTAGTGAACAACGATGTGGATTTGTGCATTTTATATTGAATGAATGTGGAGCTACCCTAAATTCCTTTCTCCTCCCCAGAGAAGATGGGGAGGGGTCAAAGTTGCTTTCTCTAAGTGCTAGCCCGACCATAAAACTGGCACCATTTTGATTCCGAAGCTGATAACGCGGGGCCTGACTGTTAAACTGACAAAGGGACACGAGCCAGCCATTGGCATCTCCCTGAACAGCCTATCAAAACTGGCCCCCCCACACACGTTTCCGTGGCAACTGACCTTATTCTTTGTTTTATTACCACATCAAAAGGATACTCCTTGTCTCACCTAAGTGTGACATGTTCCAGACACTGAACTTTGGATGACAAAAGACTGCAGTCTCCAAAAGACTCAAAGCACCTAATTAAATTTAATTAAATCTTTAGTTACCTGAATATGTTGGCCTCTATTTGAGCAGTTATGTTAACTGTTGTTGCTATCTGTTGTTGATATTAGTGCTGAAAAGAAGTTACTTGTGCAGTGTTTTTATTTTCAGCACTACACTCCTTCATCTAATGTAATCAATGCTTGTTCATAATACTTTCTTACAAAATCCCTTTAGAAATGATGACAAAGAAATGTTTTACTATACTCTTAATCGCCAGCTTGAATTTAAGGATGAATCAACAATATTCCCCGGTTCCTAAGGAGAGACGATCTTTGATTTAATCCAAGCTTTCCTCATGTAACCTGAGCTCCCCCAAGTGGACGAAATAAGTATTACATGCCCTCATCGGAAATGCGGTTAAATGTATAAAAATCCTGACTAATGTGACAATTGTTTCCTGTTACCAAATGCTTAGAACAGTACAACCGTTCAACCATTGAGGTTCGATTGTGGAAAATATTTTATTATAATACGTGCAAATAGATTTCTTTTCTTTAGACATTAAGTTTAGAAAGGCAGTCCCTGGGGAAACCTGAGACGCCCCCTGGGGAACCACGCCCCAGGCAACAAAAGAGCGACACGCGACCTGCTCTTCCTTCTCGGCCAGCGAAACAAACAGGCCCTTTGTTCGCCTGAAGCTACACACCTGAAGTGCCGCGACATCGATCTGCCTTCAGTTTGTTTTATTTTCTTTATTTCTTTTGTTTGTTAAAGTTATGAGTCCGTTAAGTTACACTGGACTAATTCAGGAACGACCAAGTTCCATTTTAAGCCTTTTTCGTCAAGCCAACTTCACCGAGGTCAGACCAAGCCACGTGGTCTCGCCAGCTGCAACAAAGGAAACCTGCAAACAGCCGAATTGCCAGACGGAGGAGGCGTTTTCAATCAGACACGGAGAACCCCGGAGAATCCCTAGCAAAAAGCCAGGATCGGCAGCTAGCGTGGGACCCGTGCAACAGGCCAAAAGCAGGCTGTCGACAAGCAGTAAGACTTAACACACGTCCTGTGATCAGATGTCCATTTTAACTCCTAAACTATAGCATTAGTTTACTTTCATTAGCTCTTCTATGCCGTATGAGTCAAATGCTTCCCACAATCGAACCTCCAGGCTCACTGTTCAGCAAATGTTTATGTTCCCTGTATCCAACCATCTTTTTATCACCTTAGTTAGAGAATAAATTCACTGTAATATAATCAAGAGCTGTGTGTGTTGCCTATTTATAGTTCCTGCCAAGAGAATTGACCCTTTAGATATGAGACTGACTGACTGATTTAAGATAATTGAGCGATTATTAACTAACTGATCACTAGTAATAATTGTATAATTATTCAAAACTACCTAGAGGTCCGGAGACTCTAGGATTATAACAACTCCGGTGGTGCCCTTTACGAGGAAATTCTGATTTTATGAATAATAATTCATAATTGGGTATCAATTCTCATAAATTTATTAAAATGCATAACTAATAAATTTAGGTCCACTACAACCCTTTGGTCCCTCATGCGGTTTCTATGATCTTGCTTGAACAGAAGACCGCTCATCTCTCCACAGCACGTTGGCTCCGATACACCACTGTTCTATTGGATATGCCTAACATCACTGTCAAACGCTGTAATGTTTTAAATCCTGCAACTTTGCTCCCCATTCCAGGAGACAGAGAAGATCATAACTGTGTTGCTTTGCTTGAGCAGGTTTGCACTCCACGTACAGATCTGTCTGAAACACCTATAACTAACCCAGACCTGATTCTCTTTGTTGAAGGGTCTGCTTCACGCAATGTTAACACAGGAAAAAATCATGTTGGGTTTGCCGTAGCCACTCAACACTCAACACTGAAATCTGGCCCCTTACAATCTCATTATTCAGCTCAAGCAGCTGAGTTGGTAGCACTCCCTGAAGCTCGTAAATTGGCCAAAGACAAATCAGTAACTATTTACACAGATTCTCAATCTGCATTTGCAACCGTGCATGATTTCTCTGCATTGTGAAAACATAGAAATTTCTTAAAATCTGATGATAAGCCTATTCTGCATCATGATAAAATAGCTGCATTGCTTGAAGCAGTGATGTTGCTGCTATTTCTGTATGCAAATGCCAGGCCCATACTAATTCAAAGAGACTTTGTTTCTACAGGTAACGTGAAAGCTGATGCGCATGCACACATACACCCCTGCACGCAGACACAGACACAGATATTCCTCTGACATTGCATGCTATGCAACAATTTGCTACATCAGATGAGAAGCGCACATGGCAACAGGCTGGTTGTAAATATGCTGATGGATTATGGATTGGTCCCAATGACAAACCATGTTTACCCAAACACATTATGCTAAATTGACACATGGGTTGCATCATGTGTCAAAGGGAGGGATGTTCGATCAACTAAAGCAACACTGGTTTATGAAAGGTTTCACAACATACACTCACAACTTTTGCCAAACATGCTCAATCTGCCTAACACACAACACAGGGAGAGGATTAAGGGTTCCCTAGTGGCACACCCAACGCCAGATAAACCATTTGGTCACCCGATGATGGACTTTTTTGAGCTTAACCCGAGTCAAGGCAAAAGGTACTGTTTGGTCATAGTTGATATGTTTTCCAAATGGATGGAGGTTTTTCCAACTTCAAAACAAGACAGTGCAGCTGTAGCAAAAGCCTTGATTTCTGAGATCTTGCCGCGCTGGGGCGTGCCTTCTAAAATCAGCAGTGACAACGGCACACCTTTTGTAACAACTTGGCTCTTACATGGGCATTGATTTGAGACAACATTGTTCCTTCCACCCAGCGAGTGATGGAGCAGTAGAAAAAGAGAATGGAACATTAAAAGCTAAGCTAGCTAAATGTTGTGAAGACACAGGTCTTCCATGGACAAAGGCGCTGCCGTTGGTGTTGATGTACATGAGAATGAGGGTAAGAACTAGGTCAGGTTTGAGCCTGTTTGAGATTCTTTTTGGGCGCTCTCCACGAACAGGGATAGAGGCAGCAAGCAGAGTACCCCTTGACACACATCACTGTGAGAATGATTGAATGACTTTGTCCTCTGCTCTTGCCCGTCTACATCAGCAGGTTAAAGAGGCCCTACCCTCTCCAGCGACAGAACCACTGCACAGTCTCCTAGATTTTGTGGTGGTTAAGGACTTCAGAAGAAAGCACTGGAAGGCGCAGAGGTGGAAAGGTGCTCCTGACAACATACACAGCGGTAAAAGTGGCTGAAAGAGCTACGTGGATTCACGCCAGCCACTACAGGAAGGTGCCTGCACCAGTACAACAATAGATCAACAAGCGTGCACAATCAGCAACTGAACCACAGTTTTCCCTGACCTTGTGTTGTGAGTGAAGGAGGGATTGGGAACGCTTAGGCACCCTTTGTCTAGGACTCACAGGCTGTTAGACAGCAAACATCAGCACAAGAGAGCTAGTGGGAAAACTCCTGGTCTCACCACTGCTGATTTAAGTGACACCGCAAAAAATTAAGAGTGAGTAGCATGGTTGTCTCTGGAAGGAGACATCCATGGGACCCAGTCAGACACCCAAATATGTGTGGCCTACGAGGAACAACACAGATGTTTGCTGCCATTGCAATATCATTAACAGTGCCTCTGTTGCAGTTCTTATCACAAGCATAATGCACAAAATCCACCACAACAGAACACCACAGTGAACTACAGGCATTGACATCAAATAGCAGTGTTAGAGGCAAGAGAAGCACCCAAAGAGGCTGGGATGCTTGGCTAATGTTTAATAACTCCTGTTGTATGTTTGTGCCCAACAATACAGCTCCAAATGGTTAGGTGAACCCAGTGCTGGAAGGACTGCGTTCCCTACGAGAAGAACTTGCAGAGAACTCTGAAGTGGACACTAACATGTTTGACAGGTCTGATTCTATGTTTGCTAAATAAAAGGCCTTAGTAATGCCCACACTAGCAGGTCACAATTGCTGTAGCACTGTTAGCTCTCTGTGGATGTTGCATTATTCCATGTGCCAGAGGTCTGATTGTAGGAGCTATTGATAAATGTGTCTCCATTCAAATGATCACACTCCATGAACAAGAATAACATGCCACTGTGATGACAGGAAGGACCCAGATTCATTTTCTTTATTAAACTGGTGTAGATCACATCATGATGACTTTCTATGACCTGATGATCTTTTTGTGATGTTGTATATGCTTGAGTGATCAAAGAATGATCACAAGGGAGGAGTATGTGATGGAAATTTGATATTTTTCTGTGTTTGCTATGATTCACTGTGTGGTATTTGATTATTTTATTATGTTACAGCTAGGTGAAGTTTCCCGTGGGAAAGATGCTCGTTAGAGAGTTTTCTTATCAGACTGTCCTTGATAGGCCTTCATCTCAGGACAGCTGGTGCCTACTCCCTTCCTCCCTTGGATAGCTGCGTAATACCCTTACAGTATAAAGTCATCTGCTTCTTCACTGGCTCTTTGTCTTAAACTCTGCAGACTGTTTTGCACTCTGTAAGTTTGTCTGGCCCTTTGCAAAGAATACAACCCTTAAAAGACGTCTGGATTGGAATCTTTATTTCAGAAGACTCACTAAAGGACAAGTTTCCATTATAGTCTCTTCAGGTTGTCCATCCTTGGTCAAGGTCATCCTGCCCCTGTTCAACTCTCGCCAAGTAATGTCGTGTAAAAATTCAAGACTTGGGCCAGATAAGAAAGCTTGAACTTTTACCAACATTTTTATTATCAACAAAAACAGACACCAATTAGAATACAAAAGTTCCACCGGAGTGTGTCAGAGATCGGTGCAAAATAGAGCCCCATTCTGTTACCAGAACAGAAAACCGAGTCGACATGAAAACCATGTAACGACTGATTTTCACCTCCTTTTGGACCTCCTTTTATAGCTCTGTTTCTTGGCTTCACATCATCTCTTGGCTCTCGTTCCTACTGCACCTGGGTCTGGGAAATTTCCTGCCTGCCTGCTCCTCCCCTCTGTGTCTCCCCTCTTTGCATGCACTCCGCTTGATCAAGCCATTTCTTCCATAAACAGACTTTTATGGAATAAACTGGTGCTGTTTGTGCTCCGTGTTTTGTAATACAATTTTCACAAAATCTGCTTCTATATTTTCCTTTGTAAGTGTTTTTGATGCTATCTTACTGTGCTCCCTCCCTTTTCTCCCAAAGCACACGAGCTTGCTCACACACATGAGCCCAGGCTCAGCTACTGCTGAGCCTGGGCAGGAAGGAGCACATACACTCAGAGCTGTAGAGTTTTCACACTGTGATCCTAACTTTACACTATAAAATAACACTTTAAATGATGACAGTGTAGACCACCTTTGCTCTAGTAATTAATGATAACAATTTAGGCTATAATGCTCCAAAATAATTGATAACAATACTCCCAAATACTGATGAGTTTTGGTTGAGTATGTGTTGATTCCTGAGTGACTGCAGAGCGTCTGTAGAGCTGCAGACTGTGGTTGTATGAAGTGATGGCGGTGAAGTCTGTCAACATGTCTGTAGTTTGTGATGCTGCAGAATTGTGTTTGATTTTACTGAGAGGTGACTCTAATATTCTAAAAATCCTATATTACCATGAAATAACAATTCTAAATCACAGAAAGACTTTGAACCCTGATAAATTCTATTCAACAGTCGATGTCATGATTTGTATCTAATGCAGTTTTGTGAGGGAAGTTATTACTGTCACTCCCAGCTTAGTGTATTGGGGAGTGACGGAGTTGGAACCTAAACACCAAATTTAAATTCTACTTATTCTGCATTCACCTAATAATCTGTTCCATGTGAGTTCAGTGACGAAACAAATATATTGTTACTGTAATTTCAGAGCATCAGACGGATCCACATCAGCAGTTTCAGCAGAAATCTGACAATGAAGGTGAGTTTGTGAACTGATATTTTACAGATCTCAAAGTCCTGTTAAACTGTGAAGAGGCTTGTGATATCGGTAGCTTAGATGGTTGCTACAGCAACAACCCAGGCAGATAATTATTGTCAGTTAGCTCCACCTTAGAGGTGTCTTTGCCCACACCGCCATGAAACTAGAGGCCAAACTGTTAAAACAGTGTGTAAGAGTCAAAGCTCAGTCAGAACGACAACATGTGCTCTGTTCCAGCTGGTATCAGTTGTCTTCCTCCTCCTGGCTCCTCTGTTGACCAGCTGCCAGCAGCTTGCCATTTTTTATGAGAAGCACACGGTCAGCTAGTAGCAGCCAAATCTGGAGTGCACACGTATTCGACTCTGTGTGGTAAGTGCAGTTTTCATGGAGGAGAGCGAGCTGACAGACAGAGTTAGGGACTTTATTCTGTCAGTTTCTGGACTCTCAGTCTTGTGGTCTGAGAGTCGTATCTGAAGAGAGGCTATCAAATCTCAATTGTACGCAATGCCAGCACAACTTATGTCAGACTTTGTGAAATTAGCACAAAGATACACATGTCACAACGTCTGGTCACTTCAATTCAGTTTTATTTATATAGCACCAAATCACAACAACAGTTATCTCACAGCGCTTTTCATAAAACAGCAGGTCTAGACTGTACTCTGTGATTCTATTTACAGAAGCCCAACAGTTCCCACCAAGAGCAAGCACTAGGCGACAGAGGCAAGGAAAAACTTCCTTTTAAGAGGCAGAAACCTCGAGCAGAACCATGGCTCAGGGTGTACGGCCATCTGCCTCGACTGGTTGGGGGTGAAGGGGAGAGAGAGAGAGATAGAGAGAGGAAGAGAGAGGCAGCCTACACAATATCCACACAGAGGTACAGACAGTAAAGCTGATATTGCTATAGACTAAATGAATAATGGTACAGATATTTATAGTAGTGTTATAGATAACATTCGTAATGTTAATGATTATAATAACAATAATAACAATAGGTCTAGTAACAATAATTGTAGCAGCAGGTGACCCGCAACCACAGATCCAGACTCCACAGCTCCTGAGCCAGAAACACCTGCAGGAAGTGATAGGAGGAGAGAGGAGAGGGACGAGAAAGCACAAGACTACCGGAAAGGGGAGAAGTCGAGTTAGTAACATGCATTAATGGGATAAGGTTGCATACAGAGGGAGAGAAAGTACAGGGGAGAGGAGCTCAGTGCATCATGGGAATTCCCCCTGCAGTCTAGGCCTATAGCAGCATAACTACGGGATGGTTCAGGACTCACCTGTGCCAGCCCTAACTATAAGCTTTATCAAAGAGGAAAGTCTTAAGCCTACTTTTAAATGTGGAGATGGTGTCTGCCTCCTGAACCCAAACTGGAACCTGGTTTCACAGGAGAGGAGCTTGATAGCTGAACGCTCTGGCTCCTAGTCTACTTTTGGAGACTCTAGAAACCCAAGTAACCCTGCATTCTGGGAGCGCAGTGCTCTGGTGGGGTAGTAAGGTACTATGAGCTCTTTAAGATAAGATGGTGCCTGACCATTGAGAGCCTTGTAGGTGAGAAGAAGGATTTTAAATTCTATTCAGGATTTTACAGGAAGCCAATGCAGAGAAGCTAAGACAGGAGAAATATGATCTCTTTTCCTGGTTCCTGTCAGAACACGTGTTGCAGCATTCTGGATCAACTGAAGAGTCTTAATGGACTTTTTCGAGCAGCCTGATAATAGGGAATTGCAGTAATCCAGCCTAGAAGTAACAAATGCATGGACTAGTTTTTCTGCATCATTTTTAGACAGGATATTTTCACAATATTACGTAGGTGAGACTTAAACGACTTGTCCTGATAAAATATAACTCCAAGATTCCTCACAGTGGTGCTGGAGGCCAGGGTGATGCCATCATGGGAAACTATATCTTTAGATAATGCGTCACGGAGGTGCTTGGGCCCCAGAACAATCACTTCAGTTTTATCTGAGTTTAACATTAGAAAATTACAGATCATCCAGGTTTTAACATCCTGAAGGCACATTTGAAGTTAAGCTAACCGACGAATTTCATCTGGCTTGATCGATAGATATAATTGAGAATCATCTGCATAACAATGAAAGCTTATGGAATATTTCCTGATAATATTGCCTAAAGGAAGCATATATAAAGTGAAGAGGATTGGTCCGAGGACAGATCCTTGAGGAACTCCATGATTAACTTTGGTGTGCATGGAGGACTCATCGTTAACATGTACAAACTGAAATTGGTCTGATAAATAGGACTTAAACCAGCTTAGAGCGGTTCCTTTAATGCCAATGAAATGTTCCAGTCTTTGCAATAGGATCTGATGGTCAATGGTATCAAATGCAGCACTAAGATCTAATAAAACCAATACAGAGACAAGTCCTTTGTCTGATGCAATAAGGAGGTCGTTGTGCTATGATGAACTCTAAATCCTGACTGAAAATCCTCAAATAAACTATTGCTCTGTAGAAAGTCACACAGCTGTTTAGCAACTGCTTTCTCCAGGACCTTGGAAGGTTAGATATAGGTCTATAGTTGGATAAAACATCTGGATCAAGTTTGGGCTTTTTCAGAAGAGGTTTAATTACAGCTACTTTAAAGTACTGCGGTACATAGCCTGTTGATAAAGATAAATTGATCATATCTTTTATAGAAGTGCTGACTAAAGGTAAAACATCTTTAAGCAGCCTAGTCCGGATGGGGTCTAAGAGGCAGGTTGATGGTTTAGATGAAGAAACTATTGAAGTTAGTTGGTAAAGATTGAGGGAAGCAAAGCAGTCTAAACATATATCTGGTTTTACAGCTGTTTCTAAGGTTCCTGAGTTTAGAGATAAGTCGGTGCCAGTTGAGGGCAGGTCTTGGTGAATTTTTTTTCTAATAGTTAGAATTTTATCATTAAAGAAGCTCATTAAGTAAATTACTGAGAGCTATGGGAATACTTGGCTCAACAGAGCTGTGACTCTCTGTCAGCCTGGCTACAGTGCTGAAAAGAAACCTGGGGTTGTTCCTATTTTCCTCTATTAATGACGAGTAGTACGCTGCTCTGGAATTACGGAAGGCCTTCCTATAAGTTTTAAGACTATCTTGCTAAATTAAACAAGAATTTTCCAGTTTGGTGGAACGCCAATTTTTTAATTTGTGAGTTTCAGTATTATAACATGGAGCTAACCGTCTTTGTTTTATTATTTTCTTTTTTAGAGGGGCTACAGAGTTGAGTGTCATTCGAAGTAAGCCTGCAGCACTATCAACAAGATGATCGATTTGACCTCCGATTGGTGTAACCAGGAGTCATTACCGCCGACATGAATAACAATCTTACTGTATTTACGTTTATCCTTAGCCAGCAGTTTCAAAAAGGACTCAATGTCCGCCCCAGGGATGCACTTAACTATGGCCGCTGGCTTTGTCACGTTTCTCAAAATGGAGCTGCCAATGATCAGAGTTGGTTTCTCAGCGGATGTGTCGCTGAGTGGGGAAAATCTGTTAGAGACGTGAACAGGTTGGTGGTTGCCGTGGCCTTTGAACGCTTATGACTATCCCTCTTTCAGACATTCAGCGAGCCACCCCTTCCTGGCTGCTCAGGAGATGCCGGGGGACGGCTACCACAGGCTAACTCAGGCCGTTCCACACCGACTACCAGGGACTGGCTAGCTACAGTAGCTAAAGACTGATCTACCAAGGTGCGGAGCCGGACTTCTAAATCACCGAGCCTTGCCTCCATGTCTACAAATAAACTACACTTATTGCACATACCATTACCGCTAAAGGAGGCAGAGGAGTAACTGAACATCTGACACACCGAGCAGGAGAAAGTAGGAGAGGGAGAGGGAGAAGGAGAAGCCATCGCTAGCTGCTGAGCTAATGTCGTTAACGGCTAAGCTAAAGTACTGTAGGGTTGGCTACCAAAACTTTTGAACAACTATGAGATTGAACAGCAGTCACTAAAAGATGGAAAGAAGTGTGAGTGCTTAGGCAAAAGTTAATAAAAATAAGTTTTTAAGCTCATAAACATGGTCTCAGGTCCTATAAAAATACTCATACTATATATGTTAATTTGCCTAAATCTTTTATATCTGTCCAAGCATCATTGTACACACATTAGGCTGGTACTCCTTAATGCTTCCAATGTCCCCACAAGTAACACATTCATTTAACCTAGCTTGGGCTAGCTTGGACCATGTTGGCTTAACATCACTCTACAACTGTGACAATCAAAGTGATATGAACTGCCTTTATTGAGGAAGTACTTTGCATTTTGAATGCCATTAGTTTTATTTGCCAAGTATGTGTACACGTATGAAGAATTTGACTCTTGATTGTGCTCAGTGAATTTGTCAGCATGGTGGTCCTCCAGCGGACATGTGTTGTCTGCATATTGGAAGTTTTCCCTTGGAAGGACAATCCAAAATGGAAGCTTTCGTATTAGCTGTGTTCCACTATACAATTATAAATAATCCAGTTGTGTTGTCATGAAAAAAAAGTGCCAACTGACCACATAACTATTTCTGTGCTGGTTGATATTTGTGTATTATATTTTGTATATGCAATATTTGTCACTTCAGAGCAGATGGAGCAGTGAAAGCCTAGTCATCCAATGCATATTGTATCGAAATATTTCACTGTGGAAAATGTCTGTCTGTAGCTAGATTCTGAAATTAATGAAACATTATAAATTTAACATTGTAGTGATTCTTGGTTGAAGTATGTATACTACTGTATTTATATTAGAATGATTTAATATTTTTTGTCACAGCTTGTGATCAAGTCAAGTTGCTATGAAAAAAAATATTTGAAAGAACTGACTCTAAGTAAACAACAAACGTAACCTATTGGCCTCAGATGAAGATCCCAAACGACCCCACTGAGGTTAAATAGCTGAGTTTCCCTGCCAGTCAGTCAGAACTGAAGAAGTCCTTTGGATGAGGGACGAAACATCTTCCAGTATCTTCAACCAAGTCCAGTTGCTCTTGACTTTAACCTTCGGTGGATAACTATGACCTGGATGACTGAGAATCTTCATAGATTGTAAGTAAATTATTTGCTGGACTTTGCAAGTCATTACATTTCTAATTACTAGACCTTGCTTTTTGGAGATTTGATTGGGAGAATTTTTTGTTTACATATTTTATATAGACACATCAGATACTGATTTCATCAAAATAACTTTGTAATAAATGTCTTATCTTGTTCTTTTATCAGATTGTTTTGCTGAAGCTGAAACTGAGCTTGAGAGATGTATCATGGCAGTGATGTCATCAAGGAAGAGGAGGATCCTCTCCAGCCACCACGTAACATTGGGATTATGAGTTGTCATCAGTTCCATATGCATGTGCCATGTTGTTTGTCCTCATTTATGCTCTAAACTTGAGCTATCTGAGTTAGGTAAAATACACCTTTGATGGACTGCAGAAAATATTCTTGGACATAGAACCCAAGTTCAGACCCGAGTGTCAAGCTCTAAATAATGGATTAATCAAAGAAGACATATAGATACAGGATATGTTTTATTCTGTTATAGCTTGTATTAAAAAATATTACAGGATAATGGAAGGGGCCAATGACTTAAATAAGAGAGAAACAGACTTTGATTCAAAACTGGCCTTTATGATTTTCTCTGTTAACAGCTGATTCTGTGGTGTCAATATTGTGGTACTTCAACACTTAAAATGTTTGTATTTTATTTTTTTCAGTAAAGGTGATGCATAGTTTTAAAAAAGACAACATCATCACCATAAACATTAAGGCTGTTTGAAGAGAATATTCATGTCTTTTTTTTTTAAAGAAACATAACTAAATTAAGCATTCACTGACAAAATGTTTTTTGGTTTTATCGGAACTAAAAGTAAAAGTAATGTAAAATTTAGATTTTATTTATGGTGAAATTTTGTGTTGAATTACAAATTTAAGTTGGCTAAATTTGATTAAATTGCTTGTAACAAATCACAGCACTTTAATTAGTTTAGTCCTAAGTAAAAAATTATACGTGGATGTTATATTAAAAAGTAGGTTATGCCAAAATAAAAATTTGTTGTACCAAAGTAAAAAAAATGAATCATGGTCTCTATGTTAAGCAATAGATGAAAGCGATGTAACCATTATAGTCAACCATCAAAATCAAGTAATATTTTGATTGAAATTAAATTAAACTTAAATTTAAAAATTAAAAATATAGTTTGAGAAAAAGTAATAAATTTAGCTGTAACAAATCACAGTAATTTTTTTAGGTTGGTTCAAAGTATAATTTTTTTTGGTGCAGGATGATTGAATGAAATATTTATTGATTGATTAGACATGCTTTTGATATTTATTTTGGATAAATTGGTTTGTTAATTGAGTAATAGGGAGAAAAGAATTTCTTTAGAATACACCAAATTAGTCGATTTATCTCAACAAAAGAATCGTTAGATTAATCAATTTGAAAAATAATGTACAGCCCTATTCCAGATTGTTGCAATGGATTTCAGTTTTAGTAAAAGATCTCACAAAAAAGAGATTTGTTACACTTTCTTAAGAAGAGGGGTACCTTTACCCATAATGCCACTGTGGCAAACAGTGGTGATGGATAAATGGTTGCTTGTCAAAGACCTACTACAGTCAGACAATCTAATGACTTCCGTCACTGCAAGTTTTGTCAAGGGCTGTATGCAAGAGATAGTCTATGGAGAGGTGAGAAATTGCAAGTCTGTTGAGGGGGAGCCTCAAGTTGGGCAAAAACTTATTCACATTGACATAACAAAACCTGATACATTACCATGTAAACATGTTGAAAAAGTCTTTTCAGGTTTTCTTAACAGTGAGCAGGACTATTAAATTCATTCTTATGTTTTAGTGTTTTAATGTACACCTATGCTTCTAATGCAGACAACAGATTTAACGTTACAGATACACACCTTATTTTGTGCATTACTGAGTCTTTATGAGTCATATAAAACTGAAAATTTAATGTGTATCTATGGCCTTCAGAATTCACTTTAACATGAAATGTCTGTTTGTTGCTATGGCCTCATAAGTCACAAAAACCTAAACATGTCCTCATATGTAACATGAAAATCAGGTCTGCCCAAAATATAGCCATAGACCAAATCTCAACAGATGGATCTATTCCTTTAAGTATTGGTGGAAAATACTTTAAATACCAGGTCTGGTGGACCTTGGGAAAGGCATGTCCTGATATTTCATGTTTTTGTCTTAAGTCCTGATATATCATGAATACACGTGTTTGTGTGTGTGTGTGTGTGTGTGTGTGTGTGTTGGTTTTGCTATACTTGTGAGGACCAACTATTGAGAAACAACCTATTTTGTGAGGACATTGTTTTGTTGTGAGGACCACCCAGCATTTTAATTCTGAAATAGCCTCCTGAGGGTATATACATCATGCTCTGTAAATTTCAGCAAAAGTCCTCACAAGAATAGTAATTACGGAAAGTGGTGTTTTCCCATGTGATCGTGAGCTCCCCCTATAGTACACACTTGTGTGCTGCATCAGCCATACTGGGAGGAGGAGTCTGAGGGAGAGGGATTTTTCTGATTGGATGGCTCATTGCCTAGCTGGGGGATTTTTCTGATTGGTCACTTCAGTCACATGTCTACACTGTGGAGGGAAGTGCAGATAGAGTTGCAGGGTGACTCACAGAGGCCTGTGATCAGCCAAATCTCAACCATGAAAACCTATTAACTCAAGTACAAACATAGTAATGACCAGTTCACACAATTAATGATATTAAATAAACTTATAATTTACATTATCATTAAACAATTAATTGATCATTATTTAATTTCTTAAGGGGATAATGAGCTTTTTACTTCTGCAGTGAACAGAAATAAACAGGGGAATAAAACTTAAATTTAAAGTATAAAAATAGATTTTAATTTCCAATTTATGAGAATTTGTACATAATGTGGGCATCTTTACATTTACTGTTAATTTTGACAGTTTTTTATTTAGTTATTCTGTTGAAGTCTGAGTCTTAAGAGTTTTGATTTGTGTAAATTTGGATTGGAATATGGAATATGAAGTGAATATTTAATACACTAATTAATGTTTGATTAGGATTAATTTGCTAATTTGTTGGCCCAGTTGAGGAAACTTCAGTTTAAGGTTTAAATGTATACAATCTAAGTAATAAAGGTAAGGACAGCTGCAAATGTTACCAGGTGAAACAGCCTACTGTCTGCTTTCTCTATATGCAAACATTGTGTCTTGTTAGAAAGAAGGTATTTTCTAGTATTGGATGTGATTGTGTAGTTTTATTTTTCTTTTGTGATTAAAGTATAATGGTTACATCACTTTCATCTGATTCTGAATGCATTTCCTCTGCTTATTCCAGTTGCTAAGTTTTACTAACTTCTCGTCATTCCAGATGCTGCTATTTCTCACCTACCAGTTGTTATCATTGTTTTTCCTGCCCTAGCCCATCACATATAGTCTCCAGCCCTCTGACCCACTCATTAGTTTTTCTAACCCTGTTTTTTCTTGACCTGTTTGTATGCATGACATCTTGCCTGTTCATCTATACCTACAATATACCTTTTGTAGGTCTATTCAAAAGTTAGTGGAACATGTCCATCATTAATGTGATGAACCTGGTGGTTACTCGTCTTGGGGCACCTGTGTGAACTCAGTGGTGGTGGTAATTTTGTGGACTACCATGGACATTCCAGAATTGGATAACATTTTTTAAAATTTTAAGTACTTATAAAACACACACTTGTGTAAATGAGACTTTTCCTGAGACTAAAATCAAATATTAGTATAATGTAAAAAATCAACATCAATCAACATCAAATAGCTCTAATGCTTGATGACCAACTTGCATGTCCAATATAACAATTTAAATACATTTTGAATCAACTTTTTTCATTTGATATTGTTAATAAATGTATCATGTCACTGTTAAAACAGCAGATCAACATGTTTTAAATAATAGTTATTATGCACTGAAGTCCCACAACATGCACGCAACCCACAACCGAAATCTATTTACTTGGCAGAGGAAGAGAAAAAAACATTAAGTCACATGAGGAAATTTCACCATCAAGCCATTTGCTAACGCTACGGATAGACCAAAGGTAAGACCTCTTTTCTATTTTTCATATTTTTCCAATCTTAATAGACTGAGTGTACTACTCAAACCAATGCAACCCCGTCTTATTATCAGAATAAGGGAAAATAATTTTAAAGTTTTCTTTCTTTATATACCTAAGTTGAGTTTGTTGTGACCTTTGTTGAGTATCATTAAATTCCACAGCTAGCATCTATTCCTGAAAAAGCATTTATTTGCTGTTACCCAGTGGAAATGTTATTGCTTAGGTTGCTCTTCCACAGCTCAGGAGAGAAAATTGTGAATCTCATTTCAGCCTAATTTTAGTTTGTGTTGTATAACCTGTTTCATGTTGCTTCTAAAATTCACTAGGATAAATTAAATAAAATAGAGCATTTAGTAGCAAGAGTCATAACTGAGACACAATTACTAGAAGGTGCCCTGAGCAAGAGTTGAACCCAGGACCTTCTGGTCTAACAGTAGCAACTTTACCACTGCACCATAGAGTGCTTCAAATAAACTGCTGTGATATCTATATAATACAATGGTCCTTTACCCAAGAAAAGTAGAAATACCAGATTTAATATAAATGTCCTCAAAATTCTACTGAAGTAAAGGTATTGGTAGTAAAGGTATATTCCTTAGTGAATGTACTTAATTATAATAAGTAAAAGTTCTAATTCTGTTTGACATAGTATCTCAGTTCTTGCATGAGTTCAGTCCTTTATGAATCTCTAAACGTGCATTCATTTCAATTACCAAATATGTATTTTTCTTCTTCTCAGTAACTTAACTACAGGAATCAGATAAACAGCAAAAAGTACAATAAAGGACTTCAAATGCAGGGGAGTAAAAGTATGAAGCCCCACAAAATGAAAATACTCATACCTTAAGTGGGTTCAATAAGACAAAACTGAGAAATATGTTGGAGTTTTTTTTCTGATCCACGTTCAGGAGACCTAAATTAGACATATTAGACGTATTTAAGAACATTTAGAGATCTCTTGTTTGATAAGAGTAAAACACAGGTGAGTTATATGCGGTAGCTTCTCCTGAGAGAAAACTGAAACATATTTGAGGAGATCCAAGTCACACCTGGGTTTTCTTTGACCTCTTTCTCTGATATCATATTGGCAATGTTCAGGAGACTTCAAGTACTTATTTAAAATCATTTAGAGATCTCTTGTTTTGATCAGAGTAAGACATAAATGAAATCACATGTAGTTATTTCTCCTGAGTTGAATTTGAGAAGTAGGAGTAAAAAGCCTTGTGTCTCACCTTAGTATTAGAAGTAGCTGATTTGTGTCAAGGAGAAATGAAAAACAACTATGAGACCTCTACTTAGATTTTGCTTTCCTCTGGAGCAGTACAATTATATCCAACTTATACAAGTATTCTACAGCGCATTTAAAGAAGTCTCCCAAAATAAATGGACAAAAAGTGGACTCTGAAAACAGGGGCTTTCAAGACAGGTCGGAGGCACAGTATCTGTTTACTTGCATTAGTACAAGGTCAACACAAGGTCAAATACAAGCATGTGGGCAGACAGCAGAAGGCAGAAGAGTTCATAAGGACTCTGGTGTCAAAGCAGACTATGTTCACAAGAGCAAAATCACAACAACATTTTTTTATTTTGGCCTTCTATGTGATTGAGTTTGATACCCTTACATTAACGACTAATTTTTACTCCTACAGTAAATAAAGAAAAAGTTGCACTGAGGTGGATTTGAATACAGAACCGTCTGTTCTTCAGATAGCAACTCTGCCACTGCACCATCCAGCTAAAGAGAAGGTATGTAGTTGTTGTTAAATAAAGATCATTGTTCCAGTACTTTTTATTTTTTTTAAACCTGTCCTGCCCAGCAGCCTGGTATGGAGTATAATGACCTGGATACCATATTGTGGCAGACAGATTTTACTTTAACAAGAGAGTATTAATATACTCCTTTGTCTGTTTTATTATTTATTTAATTATGTATTGATTTGTCACCGGGCCGGACAGGGGGGCAGACACGGGGATGGGGGGGCACAAACAGACAGCACAGAGAAAGGACAACACCTGTAAGAGAAGGGGGATGGAGGTGGGGACAACAGGGAAAAGCTGTGGGAAACACCAATTGCAGAAAGCAACGAAACCTGCAATAGAACAGAGAGGGGGGCTTGGGGAGGAGAAAAACAACAACAACAAACAAACAAAAACAAAAACAAACAATAAAAATAATAATAATAGTAAAAGACAACCAGCCGAACAGCAGCAATAAACAGCTGACATAGTAAGACAACTAAGAGAAAAATGAAAACAAGAAACAGTCACACACACTAAATGAGCAACACAGCACAGCCACAAGAGCTGGAATAATAATTAATTTAAATAAGTAATTGAAAGAAAAGCATCAGGAATAATTCTACCAGGGACAAACTAAATTTTTGTTTGTGTCTGTGTGCGTGTGGGTGAATGTGTCTGTATGTGTGTGTGTACATGCGTGTGCGCATAAGCCTGTTAAAGAATGTAGTTGTTAGTGAGAGTGGGACGCCACGACTGTAACAGGCAGGCAAGAACCCCAGTAGCCAATAGGGGTGGGAGAAAGAAAAAGAATAAATCAATCAAAAAAAAACAAAGACTCCCAGATGCACCGCGATGCAAACGCAGAAGACCCCGACCCAAATGCCAGTTGACAACGTAATGCCGACGGAACGCAAAAAGCGTAACCTGCGGAAGAGCAGCGCCCGGACCGACCGCGGCGTGCACACAACATAGACCAGCGCTCCCCCCCCACCAAGCACCCCACCGCCGCGCAGCGAACAACCAAAATGCCCAAATGCCACGCAATCATCAACACCAATGCACAAGTGACGAGCCCAACGCGCACACTGCGCGAGCACGGCGACACCCAATGCCCAGCAGCCCCCCGGTGAATCCCGCGTGCGAGGTCAGGCAAACGAGAGAGAGCAAACGGAACAACACGACAGCGAAAGCCAGCGGAGAGAAACACCAGCAGTAAGTTCCAGTCCGGCAGCAAACGCGCCGCACAGATCACCGTCCACCCGCCAATAAAAGTCCGCCGTCCCCCCAACTGCCGGAAAAAACTAAGGCCGCCGGCGCCAGCCGACATCCCCCATGCCCAGCACGCCCCCCGGCCGCCGTGCAACACCAGCCAAACCAGCAACGAGGCAAAATCAACTAGCTCAGCTGCATGCCACCAACAACCCACCCACCCGTCAAGGGCCGAGAACTCCAGGCACAAACCCAGAACAAACCTGCCCCGCACCCACACTGCACATCCCAAAAACTAACTATATACCTCAGTATCCAGAGGGGTCCAACAACTGGCCGACAGAGAAATGGGGAAGCACGGATCCGAGGCCAACGAAGCAAAACAGGGACGCTAACAGGTCCCTCCAAGTCAACGAGAAAATGCCTCCCCCAGACTCCAATGCACAAATTAAACGCCCAGCAGCCATCCAGAGACCCTGCCCAGGGAAAAAGCATAATGCATCAAGATGCATCGACAATCGCCCCACAATCCCACTGCAGCCCACCAAACCGCAATCGGATCAACCCGCGCAGAGACCCCCACCCCGAGAAGCCAGGACACCCTGAACCCCCCAAAGCACAAAGGACCCCAGACCAAATATCCCGGGGAAAGCTGTACCCCGCCCCAAGGAAGAACAGCAGAAAGCCGTGCCGGGAATCTCCCTGCCGCCAGGGAGCGATAACGCGGGAGAACCAGGGCAACGGTCCCCCAGCCCAGCCAGGGGTAGGACACGAGGCCAATGAGAATCTCCCCCACTCTTTCACCCCTCTGCCTGCTTCTGTAAATGTATTGTTTTGTGTTGGATGCATGTCATGGATTGTGAAGTGTTGTATGGTGGAGTAAAGATGGTGTGTGGTAACTAAGGTGCAACTAAAATTGGAGGGTAGTTGTGACACAGGCACCGCACAACTGTCAGGTAGTGGAGCCTCCCATCGTGCCCTTCCCACCCCCCAAGCCATCTGTGTCTAATGTGTAATTAAAATTGAGGGGCGGGCAGTGGGGGAGGAAGAAGTGCGAGGCCACAATAAAGCAGCCCCACCCCCCAAACGCCCTGCAGGCTGCCCGCCCCCCAGGGTCCTAAGGGTGTATGTTGTGAGACATGACCAAAGGGGGAAAGGTGAAGGAGGTCATAGGGAGGCTAGAAGACCAGATTCCTGACTGGCCCCATCATTCATTCAGTCCTGTCCCCCACCCCCCTAAGCAGGAGGACGCCA